GCTGCCCGGGGTCTGCTGGCGCTGGCCGAAACCCGGGATCATGGAGGCTCCGGTGCCCATCTGCAAGGGTAAATCAGTGTCGAACGTTCGGTTGCGCGTGCTGCCACCCCTGCGGGGCTGCAGCGCCCAGAGGGGCTGCAGGGCATCCGGCGTCTCCACCTGCAGCGCAGCGGGCTGGGGCAGTCAGGGGCGGGCGACCCAGTGCCAACCCCTGTTATCGGCTTGGAGGGTCCTGGACCTAAGCGGACCGGGTTGGTGGGGGTTGGGGGGAGACTTGCCCCTGCAGAAGAGTGCACGGAATGGGTTCGCGGACCCTATGGACTGTGCGTGGTGTGGGGCGGAGGGTGCACAGAGGAGCTGGGGGGTGATGGGAAGTGCCGCTGACTGCATAACCATGTCTGGTAAATAGCGCGGGTTGGCAGGACCCGAGTCACTTGGGTCCTCCTGACTGTATTCCCCTTTCTGCAACCGAGTAAAATAGGCTTCCCTACAGGGGCTGTTTTTCCACTTCGCCAGGGCGATGGGCTCATGGCCCCCTCGCCTAAGAGGAAGCCAGATCTGGGGCAGCTGCCCGGCGTAGCCCACTCGGCACCCCCAAAGTTCGGGCTCCTGTTTTTTTCAGGTGGAGATGGAGCTTCGGTAGCAGGACCTCCCAGCCACCAGCCAGGCTGCACCAGGTCCCGCAGCGGGAGCTGACCGCAATGGGCAGGAAGGGGTTAAGGTGGCGCTCAAGCATTCTGCCAGCTGCTGGGTCTGGTCCTCAGCAGGGATTCCAGCGCGAGCGAGCGCGCCGGATGGAATCCCGGCTAGAGCTTGGGGCGGTGAAGAGAGGGCCCAGACCCCTCCTGGGCCTGGGGCTCCAGGGATTGGGTTGGCAGGAGGCCAGCCCGGAAGCTAGCTTTCCCCAGGCTCCCCCTCGCCATGAAGCCCAGCCGCCTCACAGTCAGGCAGCCTGGGCGTTTTTTCTGTGCTTCCCTGACGAGATGTGAAGGATTTTTCTCTTAGGGAGAAATCAGTGGTCCAGTGCCTGCCCAGCTCAAACGCCACCCAACCCAGAGCAAGGCTTGAGGCCCAGGGATGGGAGGAGGGGGGGAGTAAGTTCAGCGACCCCAGCTATCCAGCTTTCTACAGAGGCGGTCTTGCTTCCTGTAGGGGTCTCCTAGATGAGCTAGGAAGGAATGTGTTGGGGAGGAAGAGATACTTCATCAGAATCCAGCTAAGGTCAAACCTTGCTGTCAGTCAGGCTGCAGAGAGCAAAACCCTCCCCTTGGAAGATGTGTGTCCTGACATGGGGGTGGGGGAAGCAGAGTCCCTCCTGATGGCAGCTGAGTACTAGAGGTCTCCCCTAGTCAACCCCAGAGGCCCTTGGAGTGATCCAGCCCCAGTCCAGTCAAGCCTGGAAACTTGTTCCCTTGGAGAAAGTGCTTCAGGCTGGCTGGTGGGAAAAAAGGCCCTTGCCCAGAAGAAGCTGGGCAGCTACAGGGTGGTTCTCAGCCACTGGTACCAGAATGGAAAGCAGGCATGGGGGCTTGCCACTTACAGGGAGGGGAGCTGCCAGAGCCCTTCTGAATCTTGGCACCAGCTGCCTGAAAGCCCTGGTTCCACCTTGCTGCTGTGTTTTCCAGGCAACGTCACACCTCCTGAGGACAACCAGGAGAACTCTGGCTTTTGCTGAGCTGTGCATCTTACCTCCTTCCTTCCAAAGGCTCCAGACCCAGCTCCACTATTCTCAAGGCCTGCATGCCCCTGGCCAACCATCTCACTGCCCCCCCCCCCCCCGGTCCA